CCAGCCGGCTTGTGTGCCTGCATGGAGAGCTGAGAGCCCAGCCTAAGGCGGATCCTCTGGAGGTGCCTGGGGAATTTGTCTCCAGGAGAGCCGGTGACACTGGCTCCAGCATCTGAGAAGCCTGTGCAGGGCACAGCCCCCTGGCAAATCCGGAGAGAAATGCTGAATGAGTAAATGTCAGATGATGTTCCCCAGCTCCCTGGTGGGAGAGTGTGTCTGGAAAAAGCACTGCCATGCATATTTTATGTCCAAAGACCTTTTTTTCTCAAAGATAACGTGTGATAGCTCGGGCTGTCTCCCCAGGGATGGGGCTTTCGCAGGGGCAGGTGCAGGATCCACAATTTGTACCCAGAATAACCTCTCTGGCCTGAAACTGAGACGGAGGAACCAACCCGATGGCTGAGGCCCTGAGCTGGTGAAGGAATGAGCCCCAAACTCTCCGCTGGGGACCCTCGCGCAGAAAGCAGCACTTCCCACGCCGGGTGCTGGACGCTGGAGCTGATGCTGCCTCCGTGCCGCGCCGCAGACCCCGGCCAAGATGCTGCAGCTCCAGCGGCCTCGGGCGCAGCCCCAGATTCAATTTGCTCCTCGTTTCCTTGCAGACGGACTTTTCTGCCTGCCCACGAAGTTCAGCACTGCTCTAGTCCAGAACCCGCAAGGTGGGGAGGTGGTTCGGACGCTGGAGAACTGCGAAATGAAGGAAAAATGCTACCGTGTTTCCCAGGTGGAATATTATTATGAAATTGTGCACAGCTCGGGGGGACGCAGGGAGGAACGGCTCAAGGTTGGTTTCCCACGGCTCGGCCTCCTCTCTGGGGGGCTCAGCTCTGCTGCTGGGCCCACGCGGGGGGTTTGAACAGCCGGGTGGATGCTCTGGCATGGGCAGCTTCACCCTGGCAGAGCTAAGCACACCCTGGCAACAAGCTATAGCGGCAAAAATCTGACATTTACATCATCTTATGCTATAAAATGTATTTTACTCCCACTAACCTGTGTATACATCAGTGCCGTAAAGCAACAGCCTTTTCTTCGGGGTGAGGATTTAATTAAAAAATATAATTAAGGGAGCAGTGAGATATTTATTAAAAAAATCATTTAATTGTTAAGTACGTCTTAAGCTCAGTTCAACCGAGACTCTACTCGCCCCTTTGTGCACAGGGGCCTTTGACTCAAAAAACACTGGTGTGCCCCCAAAATACTTCTCCTTTTGGGCTTTGCCTCGCTGCTGCCCTTTCTGCGGGGTGGATGTTCCACCCAAGGATGGAGGGCGGCCGCAGGGCGCAGTGACCGCTGGCCGGTCCCCTGGGGTGTCCCCAGCGAGGAGCTGCGGGGGATTTTCATGCCTTTGTTTTGCAAATCTTTGCAGGAAATTGATGTGGGAAGGTGCTTGGGCAGCTGCTCCTCGGGGGATCCCTGCTTGCTTGGGTAAGCACAGCTGCCAGCATCCCACCCCTCGCGTTCCGGGGCGCACCCGCACCCATTCCGAGGCAGGGCTGAGCTGCTCCCGTTCCTCCCAAGTAACGCCTCTGCCGCTGCGGGGACAGGACCTGGGAGGGTGACACAGGAGCGGGTTTTGGGCAGCACCCACAGCTCACCCTCTGGGCTGCGCCTGACCGCGCAGGGGCAAAGCTGAAGCAGAGCAGCGTGGGCAGCAGTGTCCTTGCTTCGCGGGACAAGCAATAACCTGCTGACGATGACGCCGAATTCGGCCCCTTGGGCAGCTCGTTATAGAGCTTGTGGCCCCCCAGGGTAGCGGACACAGATGGGCCCTGACGGTGGCTTTCTCCAGCCGGGGATGAGCCGTGGTGGTGCCGTGGGGCAGGAGGAGGAGGAGGGGGGGGATGCTCTGGGGCAGGGTCCCAGACATTTCAGCCCCGGGGGGGGGCAGCACTTTGTGTTGCCTGCAGACACAAAAACATGGCGAATGCAAAGGGAAGCAAAGCGAACGACACAGAAATAAATAACCCCTGCTTTGCCAGGGCAGAGAGGGCAGAGGGAGTTCCCCAGGTTA